TGAAGCATCAGCCCATCAGAGACTGAGGCACTTCTGCCCTTAGAGAACACTGTCTGAGAATATTTAGTGACATAATATGGTTTTAAGTTCTGTTAGACCCACAGTAATCTTTCCCAGCATCCTTCCAACACTCCTCCACCAATATATGGCGCATGCTGTGCCAGTGAGACTCAACCCAAATGCGGCAGTCCTCTGCCCATCAGATCGCTATCCCTAAGTCCCCTGGATGTGCCATAGGGTCCCAGTGGGAAATAGTGAGAAATAAAGTTGAATATAACCAGATTTAAAAACTTGATGCAACAGATAATAAGGAGCTCTTGTAGGCTCCTCAATAAGGAAATACTTGGTACAGGGATACATCAAAAAGATTGATCTTCATGAAACTTAATTCATTGCAAACATGAATTAAGCTTTTCTAAGAAATAAGTCCAAATAATGAACTAAATAACAAGGAAGTGTTAATAAAGACGGAATCGAAGGTTTTTTTAAAATTCCATTCTGGGCTAATTAAGGGATAAATCAGTTCAAATGAAAGATGTCACTGTTATTAAAACTTCATTCATTGATTGAATTATGTTTCATGTGAACAGAGTATATTTTAAGATTATTTGATTATTATATAAGTCAATGTCATTTCCAGTTTTTGGAAAATGGACATTAATGCCCTGTCACTGAAAATGTAACTGAGTTTATCAAATTAATTTCTCAAAGGCCACCTGATAGCCACCAGATGGCAACCTGCGCTGATGTCAGATTTGAAATTTAAGTTATAGATAGCCCTGTGACTATGCATTACTGCTCACTCATCCCACTGGGTTCTTTTAATATCATAAAACACAAAGGCTTTCTACTACTTTCCTAAATTCCATTTGAACACAAAGAAATATGTTCTAACCACAATGCTTGCAATAATTAAAGTCTTTTTTTTTTTTCTTAATAGGAGTCTACCTAGAAATAGTGCAATATGGAATGATCGTTAATAGACCTGTTATGGTACTTGAATAAATGCCTATCAAGAGTGCAGGCAGCCATTAGTAAATTTCCTAAAGAAAATCCATTTTCATTTCAAATTCTGACATTTTATTTAGAAAAATTACAGCCTTTCTTTTAATTATTTCAGTAAACATAATGAGGGTATTGCTAACGACCCCTCTGAGTACTTTATTTTCTCCATTTTTTAGTAATATGAGTCTACTTGTAATTAAAGGCACACTGCATTAATGATGCTGGGGTCTCCAAGGGAAACATTTAACGTCCACCTCATAATATTATGCCAAAATTACATGCACAGAAGACTTTTTAATAATCTTTGTTTCCTAATTTAGTTTTGATTGGCTCTGAAATCCGCAGCAGCTCTCGGGGGTTCACATTTCCATAGCCATCAGCACTTCCGCACCAGCCATTGTACAAATGCACATGACTTCTCCCGTCTGCAGGCTCCCTTTCAAAGCTTCTGTTTAACTTATCCAGAAAATTAGCTGCAGGCTGGAGATAATTGCAGATAATTTTGCCATTTTTAAGCCACTGGGGTGTTGCGTGGAGATATGACAGCGAAGTTTGTCTAAACACAAAGAACAAGTCAGAGCTCTGTGTTTTTCACTTCAGCTTTACATGCAGGTTCAGATCATCCTATTTGCTCTTTATGCAAATTGAAACAAATTGCAGTCACTAGATGCTCTGTTTTCTGACAAAGCTGGGCTATGGAAAGGTTTTTTTGTGGCCGGGAGAAGGACATGATCTATAGGAACATACTAACCCAGCCTACCAACAACAACAAAAAAACAAAAAAGGCTAACCCTCTTCTACCTTTCAGATCCTTAAGAGGAATATATTAAATTAAAAAGAAAACTTATGGTCTGACACCAATTCATATGTGTGTGTGTATTTATTTCCCCTATTCTATTCACGTAAATAGAAATGTCAGAGTGCTCCCATAAAATTAACATAATGCTGGTAGTATTAATAGACAACCATTTAAAATCACTAGGCACTGAAGAACTATTAAATAGGTCATCCAGGTTAGGAAGCAGAGATCTATTTTCAAATGGAATCATGTGGCCCTTTTCCCCTAAAGTTTTACAATAAACTATACTCTTCCTCCCTGAATGGTCACTGCCATATGAGGATGGGGCATTAGAGAAAGGCAGCAACAGTGGCTCTTAATGCATTGCCAATGAACTTCAACTTTATACAAAACAAATCAGCTATGGGAACTTCAGGGTCTTTCTCTCACCAAATGGCCCCTTGGTGCTCAGAATTGTTATACTCATAGCTAATAAGGGTGTCACTAACAGAGCCGGTGATTTCTGAAACCATTTTGCAAGCAAACATTTACATATAAGGGCTAAGTAGTGACTGTGCTTCTGTGGCAGCTCCCCTGATGTAATGGGCACTAACGACTCTGAGGAAGCAGGTATGGATGCATGTGTCAAGGAGGAAAGAATAGGAAAGTCATAACACAAGTGACTTTATGGATTCCCATTGGACCTTGGGCTGAGGAGCACCTACACGGGTCTGATACGACAGCTTCCGAAGACAGCTTTACAGCCTTGTGTCAGGAACCCTTACGCTAAAGAGTTTTATGGAAAATCCAAAACTACAGAGAAGTGTTGCTATATTAGGCCACTGTTGTTGACTTGGCATATAAGATGCTTAGAAATAGTCCCAAAGTCTGCATTTAAAGGATAGGTTATTAAATCTGCTATGCCAGTCATATGCATATTAGAGTTCAAATAAAGCATTGATAGGTAGCATCCTGCAAATCTTATGCTATCCCTTGGAAAACAATTCTGCCCATTGACAAACTTAAATGCACTAAGTATCTGCATCTGACTAAGATGTGGCCTTTTAAAAGACTACCTTGTGCACTTGGGGGTAAACGTATTAAGTATTCACATTACTGCTCTTGAGAAAGCTGGGGGATATCATTTTAATTCTTTTTTCTCTTTTGGTTTCTAACATCACACAGCTAGTGAACTGGGAAGGAACGGACTTGTTTAAAGACTTTAGACCGTGTCCCCATGAAAAGCAGCCATGCAAAGTTCTGTAATGTGCCCTTTTCCACTCATGGTAGGAAACAGAAGCACACTGAAGACCCCAAGTAAACCCTTCCATGTGAGGACAGGAGCAGGGCTCAGCCAGCGTTCTCTTGCCAGGGGTGGAGATCAGGAAAGCTGTGCTTTTAAAGCACAAGCTGAACACACCATATAGGGCTGATGTAAGTAGAAAGGGCACCCTAAGAAGCAGATCTGCTATATTACTTAGATTTGTAAATTATTAAACAATTTCAGAATAGGCATATCACTACAAGTGTCATGTAAGGAATAAACAGAGCTACAGTGACCTTTGTAACATGAAAAGCTGGCCCAGAACTCATTCTCTTGCTGTGAGGAGTGGAAGACTACATGACCTATTACCTACCCAGCAATTGCACCACAGATTTGCAGTGAGACCCTAAATTTGACTTTTTATGAAAGATTATCAAACAGCTTTCTATAAAGCCAACAAAGGTCCCTGCTCTTTTACAGATTTATCATAGTTTTGCTAATGGGTTGGAATAAACTCTTTTGGAAGTTTCTGGTTTCTAAAACATACCTTTTTTGCCCTTTTTTTCAAACCGCATACCTGTTTCCCAGAAAGACGAGTCCTCTCTTTGAAATATTTAGTCTTTCAGGCCACTTTAGTCATAGTGACACCTAATAGCCAAGCTCTTTTTCTCACTCTCCACAAAATCGGGTTTAGACTATAATTCAAACCAGTCCCCAAAGGCAGTTCTGAAAAATGGCAAGCCGTTAGCTTTTAGGTAAAAACACTCTTTATTGCTCAAAATTGTTTCCTGTTACAAAACCTTTTCTACAGTGCTAGGTATAAGATGATCTTATGCTAATTTAACTCACTGGGGACTGTGAACAGATGCTACTTTGATTAATAATTTCACTATCCTGAAAATGCCAGGCCAGGTTCAAGATAATAAAGTCAGGTAAGAATACTATTAAAATCTGCCATATGATTATATCTGTTCTGTGGAGAGAAGTGGGATCACAATTCCAGTGTCAAATAAAGACCACCTATAATAAAGAAAAACACTGACATAAACCAAATGAATATACTGTCTGAATTCTTTAGCACTTTGACTTACATCATGTTAATCATCAAACTCCTTACCTTATAGGTAAACTTTCAACCACATCCTAAGTGAAAATTCAATGCATTGCTCCAATGTTACCTTTTCACCTAGGATTTAACTCTCTGCCCAGGAAAAGACTTATGTATACCACAAAAACAATGAATTCTGTAATTCTGCTTATCAAAGGATGGTATCTGAATTTGTATGCCCAGGTCATTACTTTCCAGCAAATGCATTTTCAACATTCCAACAATCATATTTAAAATACCCATAGAAAACCGTGACCCTTGAAAATAAGGAGCTACACGAGTTGACAAATGAGACTTTTCCAGAGGCATTAGCTCCCTCTCCTTGCTTCCCTTCTCACTGATCTCCTAAACAAAGACTTCCACACCCAAGCAGTGTCCAGATGAGGATAACCATGAGCTCTAATCTAGCCTTGAACTACAAAATTCGGGGCTGGCCTCATACAGGTATGTGAAGAAACCTCTGTGTTTTTAAACTCAGTTTACCAATGGAGTTTATCCTTTACCATGATGCATATGACCTAATCATATTCCCAGACTCCAATCTGAAATTTAACATTCAGTTGAACTTTTTCTTTTATAATTTATATACAGTACACCAGTCTCAGTGGAAGCTTTGGTTTGCAGGAAGACAGAAGGTACATTCCAGTGCATCAGTCACACTGCAATGTGTAATTCCAGGTCCTGCAAGCCAGCCTCCATTGAGAAGGAAGGATCTGTTAGCACAGATCTGCCCCCCGCAGATTCAGCTCATTGCATGAGTCGAGTCTTTACCCTCACCGCACTTGCACACATATACGACACGCTCCCACTTCATAGGAAATAGTTATGCAAAAGGGTTGCCTCACCATTGCACAGAATGTCTCAGGAGGGTCTCCACAGGTAATGTCCGGAGGATCTAGTTTTACTTTCAGATATTTGGTCATGTCCGTGGATTCCGGCTGACACGCCATGTAATCCCAAACTTTCCCTTCTTCTGTGTAAATCTGAGTCTTACACACGTCATAATGTCCCCATACCAAAGGGTAGGGCTGCATCACCGAGGACACTGTAACCCAAAGGGCATGAATTGACAGGAATCTTGACAAATACATCTCTAAATTCTTGGCAATCTTCGCAGTAATAAAGCAGGGTTTGATTATCTGTGAGCTAGGTCTATTTTACATATACATATATGTCTATATGTAGGTAGGTCTGTATATTTAAAAAAAAAAAAAAGAGGATGAAACCTCAGTGTAGATTCCAAATCTAAAAGCGAAGGGTTGATATTGTGTGCGTTCAGGTATATTGAGGACTTTGGTGGAAGCCTAACATACTTGGACGTTAGGCGTTGACAATAACTTGCCGCTTTTTTGTTGTCCTAGAACATATCTATTAGACTCGCGTCTGGTTTGGTGTTTGTAAAAGATGTCCAGTGGCAGAGAATGATTTAGCAAAGTGATGGCTCTCCTGCCGTACATCCGATAACCCTGGGTGATCCTCAGTGCCCACGGCTCACGAGGGATGCTCAGACGCACCAGGATATCAGTATCTGAAGCAAAAGGATGAGTGTCTATAGCCAGGTGTCTGCTTCTCATCAATCATTCTTTCCTTCTGGCACCAACACCCTTTAAGAAACAATAAGAGTAAGAGTTATTGCCCCAGAATCAATGCATTACAAACTGTATGATATGTTGACATTTGGGAGGTTTGATGCAATATAAAGCAAATTGGTGTAATATGGATAACCTTTACTCCGCTGCTTTGCTAGAATGAGCAAACCATAGAAATTACTCACATTGGGGAGAATCTTGATATGAAGGATTTAACTCTTCCATAACAAAGACAGATGTGCAGGTCCCAGGTGAGTTACATGTCCTCACTTCAAAAATTATATTTCCACCTTGACAAAACTGAGAGCAAGCAGCTAGATTTAAACATTTCTCATGAATTGCAGTGCTAGAAAATCTATCAGGAGAACAATGGGCGAAATGAATGCTTTTATAACATGACAAAAAAGTGACAACTACTTGTATGCCTTTTGTCTATTGGCAAAGAGACCCTAAAAAATCTCTAAATTCCTTGTACATTTCTTAGCTTTTGTTAGCTGGAGTGAAAACCAGCATTGTTGGCACAAGGCTGTCTCCTTGGATTTGCTCATTATATTGGAAGAATTTAGCCTCTTTTGTTTAGTTGCAGTTAGTGATAAAGATAACTTGGCTCTCTAGAAAAAAAAAAAAATACTCAAAAATAAAACCAAAGGAGCAAATTTTCTTTTCACAAGAATCTTCTATTTTCTTACATCTTTTTATAGCCATTACATCTGCATTTGCACTTACTTTCTGTAACAGAAGAAGAGAATTTGTCCCAAAGGCGAGTATTATATGCTGCTTTAAAACTAAAAGCTCTGTAGTAAAACGCACAATTTAAAATGCACACATAAAAATAGCTGAGGGTGAGTTAACAGGCCATGAAGCAGAATAATATGGCACTAATTCTAAGAGAAAATAAAAATTACTGTTTAACAGTACTTTAGGTTAGCTGATAATGCACCCTCCACAAGTATGGGTTCTAGTCATTGGAGAGGTGAACTGGCAACTTTGCTCTTTAGAAATCACTGTCCAAGTCAAACCAAATAACAATATTTGGAAACCAGGTGTAAAAAAGAGGTATTTGTGTAATTAGTTCGTTCATATTGTCAGAGTCCCAGTAACTGTTTTTTAAACAACTGGAAAAGGACAAAAAAAGCCTGCAGTTTAGAAAATATCATTACGGACCCATTAATTCACATTAGGTGCTTTAAATAGGGAAGTTTGCTATCTTCAAACAATCTTATAAAAGGAAGTCAATATATTTAAATAATGCACCATCTTGAAATGAGCTCAGCCACAGAGACTATGAAATGCCACTGGATGGTTGAATAGTGTTTCCATAGCAAAGTAATTTATAATAATTGCTTTATGGATGCAAGTGCAATTTTCATTATATTCAATTCATAAAATGTTATCATACAGCTGTAATTTGTGGTATTTTCTATTAGGAAAAGTGTTGAATATTTGAGTTCCTATGAAGCAATAATTAGCAGTTTGTCTAAACATGTATAAACTGCAGATTTGAATCTGCCTCCTCCTTATAACACATAGGTGTGTTGGGCACATTTTGATATCTTAAACTAAAGGGAAAGAAATCACAGAGACCATGTGTTTTGGCTACTGCAGCCCTCTGCTTTTTCAGACTCAGTGGTAATCTTAAATTGATATTTTCAGAAACGTCCAACAATTTGACAATTAATAATCTATAAAGGTGTTAAAATAATACAAATGCACATTTTTTAGATGCATTTTTCAACTGTGTTTACTACTTCATTATAACAAGAACAAACACTTTCATGGGCTGTTGGGGAGCTGGGCCTGAGCATTACAACAGAAGAAGTGTAAAATCTACTAGACTAGAAATTATTAACTTCAATTTTTAGGTTCAAATACATAGCAACTTCTTTATCAAGAGCAATATAATTTTGAAAGACCGGGAATGGACTGCTCTGAGTTTGAATTGAGTGAAAATTATGAATTAGTTTTTAATACTGTTTTTAAAATGTGACCTTAAGTATACATTTGAATGCTCTGAGATTAACCTTCACTTTTTTTTTTTAACCAGTAAATGTTACCCCCTAATTTATTTATTCTTTGTAACTCTGTCTTTATCCACATTTTGCCTTTTTGCAATCACTGAGTAAAGGATGACCACATATGTACGTGGAAAATTTGGGCACTGAGGAAATGTATGTGAACCTGTTACTATTTCTTGACACATAGCAATCCCAATATAACGAATTATCATTAAAGAATGGCAGAATTATAATGATGGTCATTACACAGAATTATGGACTATACCATTGATCGAATTTAGAGAACTGACAAGGAAAAATGCAGAGGAGTGCAAGATATTTGAATATTAGGCAGTTGCAGGACTGTGCGGCAGACATTCTTGACAAGAAGCAGCCAATTATAGCTTAAATTTCTGGCACATAACCAGTTGTGATTAATAGTTTTCCATTACATTACAGACATATTATTAATGTATTAAAAATGTCAAGCTTTAGCAAGCACTAATATGGCATGGCTCAGTTAGTCTGCAGAATTTACATTTAATGAGCTCCCATTGACACAGAAAAAGATATTGACCACAGCATATTACAGATCAGGAGCAGAGGGTCACTAAACTGTTCTTTAACATAATTGCTTAATTTCATTCTAATTTTTGTATTTGTAGCATGTAATCTAGAATGTATTCTTCATGTCGGGTCTCCTTACTTTTTTTTAGTGCCACTTACACTTCAAAGAAAATCCTCTTAATTTAAAATTAAGAAGAAATTAAAACTATGAATTTCCAGGACATACAGTGGAAAAGAGGCCTCTGTCAAAATGGGGAATTTGCTACTCAGTATAATTATGGAGTTTTCAAAGACAATAAAATGATATGAAAATAGAATACTATTTACCCCCAAACTCTATTGCCTAATGGTACCGGTTCCCATCGGGCTATGCGTTCAACCAGGTTAAAATCATCAACAGCTTCTTAAAAGCTAGGTCATCACAGCAAATAGTTAGGCAAACGGATAATGAGAAGGACAGTCAATGACATATTTGGGGATTTAGTATACCATACCAACCCCTTCTGGCCCATAACTGACCTAATTGCCAAGTAATGGGGGCTTTGAAACTGCCTCAGGTATCCACATCACCTAAATGTGAGCAGTTTCGGAAGAGCTCCGTGCAGCCCCAGGTACCAGTTCTTTGCTTTGCAAACCTTGGGAACGAACTGTTTTCAAATAATGCCGTCATCTCTACCTGTGCACTAAAGCACTGAGAAGTCCTCTTTAATAAAAATACCCATTAATATGCTATGAGAACTCCATAGACTCTCACTGATATATAAATTTGAAGAGCCAATATGAAAATATAAAATTATGTCATATCCTCAAGTTGACAGATGTTATTCATCTGGACTAAAAGGGGCTATAACATGGCTTTGCATCCACAGGACATCTTTTTCCAAGATTCTGAAGCTAATTCCCTTCCACCTGGAAATAACTTTGGAGAAGGAATTTCACAGGCCTTTTCTCATCAGAAAAGAAGCCTTCCAAAATAGTACATGGGAGTCGTAGTGGTCAATGGTATAGACAATTACATTCTTAAAAAAAAAAAAAAATGCCAATATCATCAACTGAGAGGAAAATATTGACAGTAAATCCGTTAACTCTAGCTCATTCGTTTTATTATATAATTTCACTAGGAGGTGGGGGTGGTAGTAGTAGACTATTTATTCCATAAATACAAGGACACCTGAAATAGACAACTATTGACTCATTCCTCATAGACATTAAGAATTTTATAAATAGGCATGTTTCTGAATGGAGAGGAACAAAAAGAACACTAACTATAATCACATTTCATTGAGTGAAAATTATAAAGAGATTAAGATATCCCCAAATGCTATCACCTACCAAAATTAGCAGATTCCAACACTGTTGTAGTGAGATTGACTAGACGAGATATTTAAGATACACTGAATGCTTTTTGCATTTATTTATTGTTGTGAAGAGAGCATTTTCTAGTCATCTTAAATGGGAAACATTGGTTTCTACCCTTTTGTTAACTGTCTCTCAAAATATAAGGAATTTAACAAGTACTGAAACATCATTGACATATTTTACTCATCCTTGATTGGGTATTATGAGCAACTGCCTGTCATGAGATTCTTAATAAAACCGAATAGCACACTTTAGTATTTGAAAGATCTCGGTTTTCATTGAGAGAAAAATGATTAGAGAAATCAGATAGCATATACTTGACAGGATGTTAGGGGATGGGATAATACATAAAATTATTTCAGAATCAGTTAAGCCTGGAAGAAATCTGGTATTTCATTACCATAGAACAACAAATCTTTCCTTCTTATGTAGGCAAGTTCAGACATCCAAGGTTTCAAACACACATTTAAGAAAATCTACACCCACTTGAAGTTTTGAAACAAAACTCTGGATTCTGAAGATAACATTCTTTTTTAAAGTACACTATATCTCTTACTGACCTATAATATCTACACACACACACACACACACACACACTTGTTTTGTTAACATAACTGACTTTCTGATTTGCATGAAATCTGATTTCTTTCCAAGCGACTTTATGCTCTTGTAACTCTAAAACTATCCAAATCTTTACGATACTTAGAAAACATCAAATAAAAGCATAATTGTTTAAAATTTTTTGACATATTACCTGATTTTTTTGGAATAGTAATAGAAGCAGACAAGTAGTTGCACCAATTGCAAATATACAAAAGGAAACTGCAAAATACATTAGCGTCATCCTAAAAAAGCTAAACTGAATCACTTTAACACACATGCCCTGTGAAAGCTGACAAAACAAAAATCTCAACAGAAAAGCAAAAAAAGCTTTGTGTGCAAATAAAATTATTGTCTTACAAAAATTTAAGACAATCACTCTTAAATTCCACAATAGGAAATATAACCACATTAATAGCCACAGATGGAATTCTGAATGCCCTCATGTTGATCTTTAGTGGTGAAATAGATGTCATTTCATGGCATCCGCAAGAGAAAAGGAAATATATCCCCTACATACATAAGCTGGAACAACAGTAAATGCAAAACACTTGATGCATTTTTTTTTCCTTTGTGTCCTGATCCACATGCAAATACCCAAATTTTATCTTAATGAAAAACTGAAAGCTGCTTATCTTCCAAAAGAATCTTGAACAGTTATTGAGCTGCCTTTTCTTTGCCAAAGAGAAAGGGGGGTGGGTGGGTAAGACATTCAAAGTGACAAAATATACTTAATGAAATCTGAGGTTCCTAATTCCCCACAGGTTAGAGATGCTCTCAAGGGCTAGACAAATTACAAAAACCTTGCTCCTTCTCTGAAAAAGTGAATTTCTGGGAAACTTTTTCTAAGGAGATTAACCATTAAGTAAATTCGAATAAATGGTTTTGTTGGAGATCTTTCTGGTGAATTTCCCCTCGTTTCTGTAAGACAACTTTTAGTATTTTTTCAATCATAAAACAGGGCCTTATTTCTAGAGCAAATCTACTGCCAGATACACCATATGTTTAGTGGAATTCTGAATCTTACTCAGAATTTTCCATTCCAAAGATTGACAAACTGTTATGATAACGAGTGGTTCCATTACCATTCCGAGTAGAGAGAAGAATGGAAGAGGAGTGGGGTAACAAAAGCCTCTACTCTCTGGAAATCTATACCTGATGCGATGATGGGAACGCAACCTCCGACTTTTCCAAACAAAGTTGCTTTAAAATCCCCGCTAGGAATTTTCCGGCAAGCCCTGCAAGATGACAACCTCCTAAATGGATGGGGTGGGGGGTGGAGGTCCCAGGGTGAGGTTACTACAATAAACAGCAGAGGGCGCAGTTTCTTTTCTTATCTAACTTTTCCCGGGTATGAATCACTTAATTGGTTATTTTGGGCCCAATAATATTCGGGATTATTTGTATTATATATAGATATCCACAGACCCATAGAGGATAGGAATTCAAAGTCTCTAGCCAAATCCATCAACCGATTAAAGTAATGCCAGTAAGGAATCTGGGAAAATATTCCAAAGCATTCCTACAGCAAGTCAGGTCCTCTTTCAATTCTCCCTTCTCCCCAGCTGCACATCATGGGATAGTAATGCTTTAATCTCGCACCAATAACGGAGATTAAAAGAAGGGGACTTCAAAAGCTCTCAGTGTGGCCACCAGCTCCGCAGGGCCAGCAAGAGGGCAAGTTTTTCCCCAAAGCAGAGACAACTGGCAAAAAGGGAAAAAAGAACCCTCCGGTGCGTTGTGTGTGGCCAGGTGTGTGTGTGAGAGGGGGAGCGCGCCGGATGCCTGTGAGTCCGTCCACCGAGGCAGCCACCCAGCGCCCAGGCTCCGGATGCAACACAGACACACACACACACACACACACACCCCTAACCCGCTCGGGGCGCACACCCAGGAAGACTCGTGTGTGGGTGTCCGAGTGTGCGGGTTGTGTGCGCGCCGCGGCTCCGTGCGCTGCCTCCTCAAGGCGCTTCACAAAGTTCCTCGCCCACCCGGAGCCTCCCTCCCGCCTGTGGATCGCAGAGGGGGGAGGGGGACGGAGGGAGGGACGGAGGGAGGGAGCCCGGGGGAGAGGGGCAAAGACTAGAAGCGCGGGTCGCCGGAGGAGGGGGACGCCGGCTGCACTTACCGTGTGGCCCGTTTGCCCTTGCGCCGGCCGGGAGCCGACCGACGGCGCGGGGCGGCGGCCCTGCCCAGCCGGGTGCGCCTCGGGCGGCGGCCGCGGCAGCAGAGCCCGCGAGCAGCGCACCGGCGGGCGGCGGCAGCTCCCGCGGAGCGTCCTCCGGGGCGCGGGAGGAGCGGGAGGGGTGGGGTGTGGACCCGAGCCGCCGCCGCCGCCGCCGCCGCAGCCCCGGGGTCCCGCTCGCGCTCGGCCCGCGGTGGGAGAGGACTCCGCGCACCCGGAGCCCGGCGCCGGCCCGCCACTCCCCGCCGCTTAATTACCTTCGTCGCGGGCCCCTGAGGGGGAGCCTCCTGCGCGTCGCCCCCTCTCGGAGCCCTCGCCGAGAGGGGGAATTCCTTCCCGTTGACGTCCTCTTCGGAAATGCAAAAGATCGGTGACTTTGACAGGTAGATGAGGGGGAGGGAACAGGGGTGGGCGGAGAGGAAGAGAGGATGAGAAAGGTGCCTCTCCCTCCAAAAATATAGTGATATTAATAATGAAATCGCAGCCTTCGGGAGGTCTTGCCAGCCCAGTCCCCCGCTTGCCGGCTCTTCTCCGCGCCTCCTCGCGCCACTGCCTCTGCCACTTCTCGCCTTAAACTTTTACTGGGGATTTTTTTTTTTTCCTATTTCTATTTCTCTCTCTCTCTTTTTAATTTTTTTTTTTTTTTTTTTTTTTTTTTTTAAGCTGCAGGACGATTTCCTGATTCCCGGGGATCAGAACCAGCGGCCGGGCGGTTCTACCTCGCTTGGCACAGCTTTCATTTTATTTCAGATGAAGACGTTGAGCTTAGTCAGAAGGGACATAAATCAGGACAATTAGCATTGGCGCCAAGAAGATCCTCTAGTAACAATTTCGCCCGGGCTTCCTTCGCGCATTCCTCCACTCAAGTCAGAAATGTCACTGCACATAGCGTTGATGGCTGTGAGACGCGACGCACCCAAAGTCCATTTGATGAAATATACATGGCCCACGATGCTTCTGGATTGCGGTTCCCGGGCTCCCCGCCCCCGCCCGCTGCGCCTAGCCGGACCGGCTCCGAGTGGCAGCGAGCTTTCGGCAAACTTAGGGGCGCGTGCAAATTAAAGAGTGAGCGCGAGGGCCGGAGGAGGGAGAGAGAAAGGAGCGAGCCCGGGAAGCCGCAGCCCTCGGAGGGGTGGCCTGAACGTTTCACTTAAAAGCAGATCTTCTTCTGCAACTGCCAGCAAGTGGAAGGATTGCAAACCTTACACTACCTCGAGACCTGGGCGCTCCGAGCGGTCCTAACTCCGTCCCGCTCGCTGCTGCTGCTGCTCCGACCGCTCGCGCCGCCGCTCCATGACCTCCCCGCGCTGAGGCTGAGACCACCTTTCACCTCCCCACCCCCAGCTCTCCCACGGAAGGCCGTTTCCAGTAACTCTTCACGTACCATCCTCTCGTGCCCCCGCCCGTCCCATCCCTCACTCCTTGTTCTCCTCCTCCAAACCCTGGCGAAGCACACCCCCTGGCCCCTAGCAGTGATCCTAACGGTGTTTTTCAACCAACAATTCCCTGGCCCTGCCAGCGGCCCCTAGAGCGCAAAGCTTTGAACCTCCTCATTTATAAATCCATTCTCCTTTGGAAAGTTGAAGTTCAAAAGAGAGCTGTGCCTGTCATGTCTTCTTGCTTTTCCCAAGAAAAACACAAAACCCCGACCCCCAAGACCTCATTCCCCACCAGTGGGGGGCTCAGACTTACCTAAAATCACTCTTAACTACATACTAACTTCAAATAAATAAATAAATAAATCCAAACTTAGATAGGGAGAGACTTTAATTAGAAAGACTATTGCAATACAGAGAGAGCTCTGATCTCGGAAATCTGTAAGCATTTCAAACCAAACAAAAAAGCTTTTATATGGTAAGCGGAATACGCAGTGAGGGAAAGTTGGGCAGATGAGAGGAAGTAGACAGAAGGCATGACTGACCTGCGGGGTTTGACAAGAAATGCGTCTCTGTGGTCCGGGATTTGGGGGATAAGCTGACAAGGAAACATGTTCTGCATTTTAGTACTTGTTCGGATTTTCAGGCAAGCTGACATTCAGAACTGGGTGGGGAGGAGTGAAGCCTGACTCAAGTTTAGTCAAGGCAAAGCAGAGGGTAAAAAATGGGCCATTGTGACCACTTAGTCACCAACTACACACCCCACAATGAAGGCACAGAGTAAGAGCAAGGGGTCACTTTTCTGCAATGGCTGGGAGTGGGGGGTGGTGTCAGAAGGGTTTTTGGGAGAGAAGATTGTTGAACTGAGCCTATAACCAGACCCTCTTTGGCTCCCAAGCAGCCAGAATGTGGCAGGGATTCCAGGCATCCAGTCCCTAGACACCACAACGTAGAGAGAGACCCCCATGAATCCTCCTTCCCTTAACTTTCTCCAGGACAGGAATTTGTGATTTCCTAGCTTATCTCCTCACCCTTCCCCCACCTTGTTGCTTAAGCACTGACCTTGCAAAGAAGAGTTAACTGAAGGGTGAAACTCTCTAAAGTCATGCTTAGATATTTTCCATTCAGTCTGTTTATGATCCTCTAGGGTTGAAATATACTGATTAAATGGAGATGCCTCTCACCACCTCACCTTCCCTCACAGGCTCCCAGAGCCTAGAACTTTCAGGGGACCCTGTAGAACTTAAGAAACCACACCTGGGTGGTCCTCTCACTTCTCAGTGGCACCCCACCTCCTTTCTGATGCTGAATACAAGGGCTCTCAGCCTTCCTCTTCCTCTAGTTCTTTTTTCCTCTTCCTCTAGTTCTTTTTTCTCAAGCCAGGAAAACCCCTTCTGAGTTTTCATTCTCAGCTTTGTCTGATCTTTTTAGGTCCTTTTCTGGGAAAAAGTAAAAAAAAAAATGTATCTATGCAGAGATTAAGAAATTCCCTCCTGGGATATATCATGATCTTTGTGATATTGGCTCCCACCCTGGAGAAATGTTGCTTCCAGCTGTCAAAAGTTGTGGAATTAACCCCCTTCCCCTCTTCCTTTACTCTGACCTTTCCTCATTGCCAGCGCTCTTCTGACCATGAGGCAGCCCCCAGTACCAAAAAGTCTGATAGGTGAAGGGGACCCTTTTCAGTTAAGTAGCTTCTCTTACTCCAGGAGTGAGAGAGTCTTCCAGAGGTTGTTTCCCCTGCCCCCCAATATCTGCTCTGATCTTTTCACAGACTCAGTAAATCACCAATAAACATGTGGACCTAAACTTTGGCCAGGAAATCAGAATCACCAGAGGAGACTTTTCAACGTTAAAATTCCTTCCTCTCCAGATCATGATCCCTCCTCAAGTGGGGCTGTGGTGGGAAGAACCTTAACTCCAAAAAAGCACTTTGGGTGGATTTGATATACTCCCTCAAACAGAGAAGCCTTACGTTTATATATTAAATCAGCTTTCCTGAATGTATCTTTGAACATTTGTTTATATAATACAAAGCAATCATAAATTTACTTTAGATATTTTCTTGGCATTGGAGTTAAGTAAGTTAGGGCATGCTTACTTTATCTACCATCCTTTGCCATATATATATATATAAATAAATAAATTAGACCCATGTTAAAATAGAAGGCCAGTTAAATGTCCA